AAGTCATATTGTGATCGCATATTGTTTGTAGTTTTTTATGCAAAGTTACAAGACACAAGCAAACAAAACCGACCGAAATAATCGTTACTCGTTCTTTCAAAATATGCCGAAATAAATGGGAAAAAAAGCAGTACAGAACAAATTGACTTTATCAAGCGAACGACAACATTGCCTCAAATAAACAATACTTTAACTGTGTGTCTAACAGCGTCCATTTGTTTGAATGCATGCAACGAGAATGGATTTGGCGCTGGCGCAACTATTGTTAGTCACCGTGTCTTTTGGCTCGCTTATCGCTTCATTTGGTGCATATGCGTAATGGTGTTAAATTCAAGCTTGTGTCGGCTTGTTTCTCTTTCGCTTACAGTTTTTATTTGTTATTCAAACACCGTTCGTTCTCTCTTTCGGTTCATTTCGAATGCTATCGTTTTTATCACCTGTTCCAAATAAATAAATAATTAGTACTTGAGTTAAACGGCATGGTTTTTCTGTCACGAAGTGCCGAAAAAGTTCTCATTTGGTGTACGAAGAAGCCTCAAGAAACGACAATGTGTTATTTGATTTTGGTTTTCGGACCATTTTTACGGTGTTTCTTTTTCTCGCTTGGGTTAAAGCCTTATCCAACTTTTTTTTATCTATTACAAATTTCCGTTTCGACACATTGCGATAAGGAATCCCGGTTGTGAATTTAGTAAGCTGGTCAATTGCACCGATTTGAACACCGGGTCCGTTTTATTTTTTATTTTCTTTCATTTCCTGGGAATTTATCGACGACTGTGATAAAAGGTTGTTCAGCGTTTGTCACGCTGCTTTCAGAAACAATATTCATGTGGGTGTGGTGCATATTGCTTTTTGAGCAACGTATCAATTTATGATCAATACTTCGCCACACGCTTTTCAATTGACATTTATATGAAAGAAAAAATAATCCAAATAAACACACATTTTGTTTGCTATTCGATATTATACACGAACCAAGATGTCCTTTTGCCTTGTGTATTCAGTTATACATTGGTTGATTGGCGATAAAAAAAAACTCTATACTCATTTTCATCGAACACCTTCGGCTGAGATTTTTTCTACACTTTTTTTTTATTCGAGGTAAATCATCATTGATCAAACAAAGCATAGGTTTTTTGTTTAAAAGCATTGGCTCGCGCTGCACACAAAATATCCGATTTGTGTGAAACTGAAACGAGCGAAAGATGGGAGAAATATTTCCAGTGGGCAATAATTTTTTTTTTTTAAATTTGCACAATGAAAAATTCACATGCGATGATTCAAAATTTATTCAGAATATGAAAATCAATTTGGTGAAATCATTTCTTTGTAAAACTGTAATTTTTCAAAGCGAGCAGGACGCAAGTGAAATGGCATACAAGGCCTAACGAACATACTTAATTGCAGTAAAATCAATGTGCATTTGCTCCAAATTGAAATGCATTAAAAACCGAAATGCGATATAACATTTTTATAGCGTTTTGTCAGCCGCAAGGCCCCTGCTCGTTTCTTTTTTGTTTTTCCGTTCGATGGCTGTGGCGAAACCGAGTGAAAGAAAGAGAACAAAACGCCAAAAGAAGCTCAAAATATTTAAAAATGGGCAAAGCAACGCAATACAACAACTGGATACACAAAAGTCGGTCAATAACAACAATATGCGGGTGGTCAAAGAACATTCAACCAAACCGACGCCGATATACTGCTGCATGTGGTTGATATACATATATACATGTATTTTGTGTGTTGCTTCATTCTTTTTCTCCATGCAAAATGAAATGGAAAAAATTTAAATAGCATTCGGGTCTTTTGGGTGACGAATGCGTATAATCGCGCTCGAATAAACGGGCAATTAAAAAAAGGCTAAAAAGCAGCATTACTCTTTCGATTTTTATTTTCTGTTTCGTGTCGTCAATGTAGCTAAAGTAAATTGACGTGGATTTCATGGAAACGGATAAAATATCCGATGAAATACGAAAAAAATCTGTTTGGTGTGTGTGTGTGTGTGTATGTGAGTTTTTTTTATCATTTTGACTTCATTTCATAGTTGGCGCACGTACATGAGCAAAGAAAGCCTTTAGATCGAACCATTCGAATGATTCTGATGAATAGGATTTTTTATTTGGACTACATTTCCATTCGAAGCAATGACAATTGTCTTATTCCAATAACATGAAGGTCCGCAAACATTGTAGAACAATTCCCAATCAAATATTTATGACAAACCGAACGCACACCTAAGCAGAAGTGCGCCGAAATTTTGGCATCGGCCAAATGAAGCAAACGCTCCCAAATATGTGTACTACTAAAGCGCTAGCCCGTGTGTTTCGTGTAACAATTTAATATTTTTTATAGTTTACATAATTAAATAGCCGTTATTTAATTTTGATAATTCGACTTTTTCTACGAATCGACAAGTAGGTACAAAATTGTGTACTTTTTCATAGAAACCAGCACACCTTTTTGTAGCGGGCAAAGAATAAAAACAAAAACTACTAAAATACGGACAAATATGCCAGTCAACAATAAGAATTTGACAAAAGTAAACATCTCACAGTTAGAAAAAGGTATTTAAATATTGAAATGAAAGCAGAACTGTGTTGGAGCGTACAGTTTTATTGGAGAGCAATTAGCAAAATATTTAGATAGCGACTGTAAAGCACTCGGCATTCAGCCACATGTTTCTATGGTCCGATTAATTATGTGCATAAAATGAATTGAATAATTTGTTCGACTGTATTTTGGTGGTTTTTTCGTCCATTTTTTTGCTCTGAAATGTTTGTCTCAACCATTTTTTATGGATGACGAATGGGCGCGCAGTTTCAAACCACAACAAAAAAAAACACAACATTATTCAAAATAAGAAAACGGAGCGATGCAGCCAATGCCCAACTTCATATGACGGATCCACAAAGAAGATGAGGCAAAAAAATATTTATACGCAAAATTAAACAACGATCGAATTCATTAAAGAACTTATTTGGGACACAAAGTGAAGCGTAACGAAAATGCATTAATTTGTGAATAAATTAAATGGGCTCAGGCAAAACGCCGAGGAACGCCGTTCGGAAGATAGGCCATATGTTTGCTCGTTCGGCGGTGAACAATTCAACGAGCATTGAATTTAAATATGAATTCAAATGCTCATCACCGACTCCAAAAAGGCGTCCACTGTGCAAATTTCAAGACAAAATATCGTTTTGATACGCAATTTCGCGACGATTAATGATTCGAAAAATGATTCTGGATGATGATAAATGTGGCAAATGTTTCCAAAAAGGCGAGGGAGCATCTAAATTTGTGGTCAACTTTAATTTAATGCCATTTCCCACTCATGAAATCGTTCCCAATAACATTCAGATTCTGGAATTGGATTTGGATTTGAATAATGAGAGACCAAGTTTTTGACCAAAAAAGTTAATTTTCTTTCATGGCTCAACGGCAATGCTTGATACATGTGCCGAAACGAATTTTCGTCCGCAAAATTTGGCGCATTTCCTGGGTTTGTTTGTTGAATGTTGTTATCGTCGTGCATCGCAATCGATGCACTACCGACCACATTTCGTTGAAATTTGTGTGCACACAAAAAGCACGGTGTCACATGGAAACCAAAATGTATATACACGCAAGATAAATGTCGAAAGCGCGATACCACGGCTTTTCAGTGTACATAATGTAAGAGAAACGCGCGACCCGCGAATTTAACTTTTCTATCCAACCGAAAATATACATATAAATTTCCATGTAACGGAGACAAAAAGAGCAATACCAATGAAAAACGCAGCCAATTTTCTTTTCACTTTTCCTTGTCGCTGGATGCGGGTGCATAAAATGTGCCAACATTGAAAGCAAGAAGAAATTATCCTTACTATTTCATCTCCCCTTCTTGCCGAAAATCACCGACACAGAAAGCAACGAGTCGCTCTAGTTTGTTGCTCTGCTTTTAAATCGACCGTCCGCGACGACAATAAATTGTGAAATGGTGATAAGTTTTTTGCTTTTATTTCTCGACAGAAGCCGAAAAAATGATTCATCTTTTGAACTTTGGGTGCAAGCGGGCGCCCGATAAAAATACACACGAAAATTGACTGCGATCATCTTCGGCTGATAATATTAATGAATATATCACACACGAATTCACACAAAGTCGCGCGCTGCGAACGAAACAGTACCAAACAGCATCGAACAATGGTCATTTTTGTGTTTGGCAGCAACGGGGAAAAGTCTCCCTTTGTCTTCATCTTTGACTTATCGTTTTCTTCTTGGCTTGCTTAATGTTTGCTTTGTTTTCACTTGCCGATTAAGTTAATTAAAAGTTGTTGATTTTATATTTGAATTGGTGGTTTGTTTTTCTCTCTCAAGCTACTATTGTGACAACAAGATATAATTTTTTGGCAAGAAATTCAACTACTCTCATAAAAGTGCATGCCAAATCTTTGTAATTTGCAAACACATAAAATCATGTTTGAACATATAGCACGTGAAACACACGAGCTAAACTAGTTCCGTTCAAACAGCAAATCTAATTTCCGAAACGACGTTACGTTGAATTCTTTTATACCTGAAACTTATACTTATAGACGAAAACAGAAAGGGGTTCAAGACGACACAAACTTTGCAATGTATCAGTACTCAAAATAAACGAACATCAAAACGAAATCCAGCAGTTATGGAGAGTAAAATAAAACAAGACAAAAGAAAAGGATGCTTCCGTCACACACACACACACACACACACACGAACACACACAAAAACTAGCTAAACTAAAATCAAACTGCGAAAAAGGTGTTTGATAGATTTTGAGTGTAAAATAAGAATTAACCGAAACCGTGGTGACAAACACGAGCAACGATGATGTAATGAGCAGAACCTCATGCGTTTGAGTAATTTTCGTTTCGAAACGTATTGGGTCTGTTTCATCTGAATCTTTTTTTCTTTTTTTTTTCAACACAAAACTTATCATTGAATACACAGAAAAAAGAGTTTTGGAAAATTTCTCTCACCTTGAGCAATTCGAACGGCTGGCATTTTGATTCTCATTTTGGAAATTTTTAATCAGACACTTCACAGCCACGAAAAAAAATGTCAATTTATTTTGTTTAAGATAAAAACTCTGATGATTCACTACTTCATGGAATCTAGCATTCGGTCGTATTGTCTTTTATCTGCACTGCATACATTTCAGTTAATTATGTGTCGGTGGCTCAATGTTTGTATCTTTATTCACTTCTCGAAATGATTCATATTTGGTTAATTCGTGTCGGTTTTATAAAATAGATTCTTATTAGATTGTTTCTAAAGCAGAAATTAATCCTAGAATACTGGCCAATGTCCTCAAATTGTTGTATGTTCACTGCACTAAATCATTTTCCTTCACCAATTTTGCGTGTATGTTTTCCGAACCATACAAACAGTTCTCAGATAAATTGAAAGTGTTGAATTCAAACAATCGCTAAAAATTAATTCCAGTCCTTCAATTATATTTTTCCTCTTTGAAATATTGTTTGTATTTGGTTTTTCTTCTTTTTGAATCAGTTCAAATCATTTATTTTCACCATTTTTTTTGTTATCATAATCCGAAAGTCGATAAAAAAAATAATTTAATAATCCAAATTTAAAAATAATTGCACAAAGATTTTTTTTTCAAATAAATTCAACGCCTTCAAATTTCAAAATAAAAACAAAACAATTGTTCAGCTCTTCTCAAGTTGTGTATCACTTGTTTTTTTTTGACGGCGGTAATTTTTTATTTCGCTAAATTTGCAGAAGTTCAAATGTTTATGCGAAATTTGATGCAGAAAATAGTTGATTTTTGATGATGATCCACTTTTTGCAAGCACTTGGTTTTTTGGGCACTGTCACCTCGACTGGTGATTAGCGGTCGGTTCAATTATTTTTCCCGAAAGGATCGAATAAATTGATGAGCGCACAACAGAAGTTTTTGAATTTGTTGAACGAAAAAAACACCAACGATCCAGTTTGCATTGACAACTACTTCGATGCACGTTACACACTTCACACACAGCGAGAGAAACACACTGAGATACACAAGAGATAATAATAAAAAATTGAATAGCCGACAACACGTCGCAACGTCCTTACTACGCGACAGTCCGTTTACATCTAATATGATGGGCCAAACAAAATACGTTATATCACATTCACGAGCTTCGAGTCGCTGGTCACCGGTCCCACCATCAAAATTGTAAATATACTACAACTCCACACTCAGCCAGTCAGCCAGCGAGCGAGTACAATATCATCTCTCTCTCGGTGCCTGTTGTAAAAAAAAACGCCAGCCACTACATACACTCATGTGCATGTACAAAATGTGTACATAAACAACAGCAAAATCAGTCACTATATAGACCGCGGGTGCCGTAGATGGAAATGATATGAAACACACAGCGCGCAAAATATATAATCGTATGGAGAATTGGATGAAACGCGTGATGCACACACCAAATTATGTACATATACACTCGTGCGCGCGGACCACAGATCTCTCTACACGGTTACGACGACGACGGAGGCGGCAGCAGCAATTGCGAGCGGCAAGAAGAGAACGCGATTCAAACGACGGCACAAACAAAAACAAAAATTGTGCACAGAGAGCGAGAACCCGACAATCGTGTATATGTGTGCGCTCACCACGAACAGCAATAGCTAAGTAAACATGCACACAGCACATCAGAGTAGAAAAGAGTACTAGAATGCTTGCAGAGATGTTGTAAGCAACAAAAATAATAATAAAAGCGGCCGCATTAGGAAGCAAAAAAAACGACGACAACAACAACAAACCATACCAGAAACATATGAACTAAAGTGGAAATAGGCAAGAGTGCTGGGCTATTGAAGCAAGTAAGCAGTCGTCTCTGCCGTTATTATTGTCGCTTCAGTATATTTTTCGTTGTCGACTCATGTACTCGGCTGATATCTTGAATGTGTGAAAGCGCCTCTCTGCACCTTCGTTCAGTTCATATATAACAAAAACCGATTGAATTTAAACCCTCTGCTTTGCAGCGATACTCACACACACACAAGCGCACACACCGAAAGCAATCACACCAACGACTACAACAACGACAACGACATCGATGTCGTCAATTCAGTTCGAAATGACGAGTGTTCTGTACGTTTTACTGTAAACACACTTGCGCGCTTATGAACTTAACAAATGAACCAAGTAGTAGTACGAAAAACCCGAATCCAAAACGTAGGGAAAGAGTGTATCGAATACACAGAGCTCAATGGAACACATTGAATGAATTGGTTTCGATTGCGTTCGGTTGGTGTATGGGATCTTCATCTCATCTCGATTGTCTCATCCACCGACAGTATAACACGAGAATCGCTCCGTTGTGCAAATACATAGACGACAAAAGACAACAATTGCTATTTATGGAAATTTCGGACCATTTCGTACAAACTGAAACTACACAAACGACGCTTCTCCGGCGATCCGCTCATCGAATGGAAATAGTTATTTCGAATTGAAAACGGTCGCTATTTATTTGATCACTTGCACACACACAAACACACACGCAGACATACAGACATACTTCGTGCAGGAGCCGTGCGATGAAGGCGGAGGAGAGGAGTCGAAGTGGTTAGTAGCCGAAATACATAAGTGCGTGCGCGATATTTTGCGGTTTGTCGTCGGAGTTGATGTTGGAATATTGTATAGCTAGTTCGTTATGTACTCATATGGACTCTACGGTCGTCAAATAGAATTACAGTAAATGCTGGAGAAACAACTGTACGATACATTCACGTGAGCAATACCAAACGCATATGTGTAACGTATTCAACGTTAGCTATTCTTTCTGCTCTTGTGTTCATGTCAGAACTTCTTTCAACGTTTTAATTTTTTGATTTCTCAACTGGGATATGTCTTCATTTTTCAAACAATCCATTTTATCAGAACACGATTGAAATTGGTGTTTGGGCAAAATTCGAGCATATATGCAAATGGAGGAGAAGAGAGGTGAAAGGGGCGAACACATATCGCATCGTTTTGCGCACAAAGTCAATGTATAAAGCTCACGTGTGTGGAGAAATTGACCGAGACTTATATAATCGTTCGTGTGTGGAAATTGATACATACGAGCTCTTATCAGGCGTATGAATACGGCTGTTTCATCGTCATTACATATGCGCGCGCGTCACTGCCAAATAGCCATTTATCCCTTCCTACTCGAAACCAGCGCTTATTCAAACAAACACACATGCAACTACTCGCATATGTGAGCTTTTGGAGAAGTAGGCAGAAAGAGATGAACGAATACACGAATAAACGAACAATGAAAATTTGCACACACAAAACGAATTGGCCAACTCAACTGAAGTGGTGGTGATGTCAAATATCAGCAGAATTCAATAAATCACTCCACAGTCGACACCATCCACAAAATAAATTAATTAGTTTGAATTTAAATTTTAAACGTAAAAAAATGACATTCCGAAAAAAAATTTACAATTTTTTCATTTCTTTCTTTAAGATACTGCTTCTTCTATGGCAGATATCATACACTTTGAAAATGTTTAAAATGTTTACGTTCATACCTTACTCACGTTGCGTCCTCTAATTCGATTGTCTTGCGGCTTCCCTTCATTGCCATTCATTTGATTTCAATGCTACTGAACAAAGGAGTTTGGTCGCAAAAATGAGCGCAAAATGAGTGATTTCAATCAAGACAGTTGATCATATCACAACCATGCTATTAATGACCTTGCGTGTGTTTTGCTTGTCAACTTCAAATTACTTTTCTATGACTCTTTGATAAGCATTCTTCCACGACGTCACTGAATTTGATAAACGATGAAAGCCCATGTTTCATTGTTTGAATCATGTTTTTTTGTTTGAATTTCCCGTGTAAATTTCAAGAAGTAACCTATAACATAATAATCAAAGAAGGAAGAGAACGAGAGGGAGGAAAATAGTTTTTATCGTCCTCTGCGATTATATTGCCTTTGGTTTGGTTTGGCTAACAAAAAAGAAATCCAACGCCAAACACATTAATTATCCCTTCAACGGTGAGACCAATAGTCTCAGTGAATGCTTCAATTCAATACCATTTGGCAAAACGATCAACGTAAAATTGGGGCACGACAGCAAATTATTGTTGAACAAACAAGAAAGAAGAAGAAGAAGTAAAATATTACGCGTAAACGAAACTGAAGCAGCGCATCAGCGAAAAACAACGAAAGAAATTTCGGCATCGGAACAAAGTAAAAGTGAAATAAAACGACGAAAAAAAGCCACATAAACATAAATAAAAGAGGCGCACCATGGAACGGTACGAATCAGATGCAATGCCGGTATAGAACTAATGTAGAGCACGCGGAACGTAAAACGTATCGAAAAAGTGCCACAAAAAATACTTACTTTTTTGGTGTGTAGAAGTAAGAATGGCAAAAAAAAGATCGAGCGCAAGATGGTTCACAAGAAAATATGTAAACAACAAACGCGGAAAAATTGAAGAACAAGAAGAAATAATGAGCGAAAAAATAAGCAACACCATCCAGCTGTTTCGCGATACACCAATTCACGAAGAAGAAACTGAAATCGTTTTCGCTGTGTGGTGGTGGCGATTGCGACGGCGGCGAACCAAGGAGTGCAAATACACAGAACGTTGATGATGACGACATCAATAGAAGCGGCAACGAATAACATCGTGTGCACAATACGCGTTTGAGATTCGCATTTCATCCCTCATCGTGTCGTTTTTTCGCCAGCCACGGCGTGAATGTATGAAGAAAAAAAACGTCGGAATAATCAGTCATTAAATCAAAACGAATCCGAATTAATTACAACGAAGAGGGAAGAAATGTTGCGCTTTCCGCTGAATGAATGCAAATTCCATTAATTGAATGGTTTATCACATTAATATATTAACGGTGATTCGAGTTTTCCGGCCAAACGAGTTAGTATGTTTCGGTAGAATGCAGCGTCAAAGTCAGCTGACTTTTCCAAACAGCTACTTTTTTTAACCGGTTTAACCGAACAGATTTTAATCTCATTCTTTCTCTTGCAGCCAGAAGTTCAAGGCGAAAAGAAAACCAAAGTGCAAACAAAGAACCTTCTTTCTTTGGTAGTCAAATCGTTGTTTTAAAATTATGAATGGAATTCCTTTTTACTGTTGCTACTGCTGTTGCTGCTACTTAGCTAGAGTTCAAATCGCTGAGTGAGAGAGAGAGAGAGCAAGAGCGGGAGAAGAAAAAAAGCATCAAGCCGAAAGTCATTAACCACTGGCACATTAATGTTTCAATATTTATTCTGTGTCTGTTTGCGTGTAGCACTTTCCTTTTTCGAGGCATTTTTGTTCATTAGCATTCTCCAATTCCTTGTTTCTCTTCCGCTGCTGCTCGTCCAAATTCAAGATTTCGTTGGAACAGCGACGAGAGAGAAAGAAAAAGAACAATAAGCAAAACAACGAACGCGACAAAATGAAATTCAGCGTGTACAAATTGTATAACGGAGTAGGTCTGACGGATTATATAATATTCATACTGCGCGCACTTGTTTACATTGAAGCGAAGACGAAAAAAAAGGAACGTGGAAAAATGGAGCTCTGGATGAAATAAAAAGTGGAAAAAGTTACTCATAATGCATAGTAAACAGCAAATAGACGAAAGACAAAAAAATACGCTGAAGCGGAAGGTCGTCGCAACAGTTAGTCGAAATCGTCGGAGTGCCAAGAAAAAATGAGAAGAAAAAAAAACTTTCAATTCGCGCGAGACGCATTAATTGAACTTTTCCCTCCGTTCTCTTTGGATCCTGCGCTGGCACATTCACTTGTTTTCATTTTCTTGCTGCAGTGCCTTCCATTCAAGGCGTCCTGATTTTTCGACGTGTATTGTTCTCGTTGAAAAGTTTTTGTGAGTGCAAGAACAAGTGATGGTTTTGAATGACTCGAGTCATTTAAAATAGTCGAACCATCGATTTTTTTTGTCATCGCGAAATCCACCTGTCGAAAACTATTAGCTCACAGATGGCCTTGGCTTGCCATTTATCCTTTCAATTGAACGGAGGGATGCTTGTGTCATCCTTATCAATCGTGTGTATTGACTTTTATCCCCCACGCGTGAGCATCACTCTAGCTGGGCCGCTATTCAATGTATCGCGTGTATGGCAAACTGCATGCAATCAAGTGGATACGTGAGCTTTCTACAGCGGATACAAATGTAATATTTGTGGTAAGTAGATGCCAACGAC